CGTTGTTCCCTTTGTCACCGGTATGTTACTTGCCCGAGATTCGATCGTCGGTATCTCAATACCTAGTTCAATCTCGTTACCAGCAAGTCTTTTTACTCGTTCCGTAATGCATCATCCCGCAACTAACTCATTAGTCACATTGCTTGCAAGGCTTATAGTGATGTGCATTACCGAGAGGGCCCAGAGATACCTCTCTGATACTCGGTGACAAATCCTAATCTCGATCTATGCCAACTCAACAATCACCATCAGAGACACCTGTAGAGCATCTTTATAGTCACCCAGTTACGTTGTGACGTCTGATAGCACACTAAGTGTTCCTCCGGTATTAGGGAGTTGCATGATCTCATAGTTATAGGAACATGCATAAGTTATGGAGAAAGCAATAGCAACAAACTAAACGATCATCGTGCTAAGCTAACGGATGGGTCAAGTCAATCACATCATTCTCCAATGATGTGATCCCGTTAATCAAATGACAACTCATGTCTATGGTCAGGAAACATAACCATCATTGACTCAACGAGCTAGTCAAGTAGAGGCATACTAGTGACACTCTGTTTGTCTATGTATTCACACATGTACTAAGTTTCCAGTTAATACGATTCTAGCATGAATAATAAACATTTATCATGATACAAGGAAATATAAATAACAACTTTATTATTGCCTCTAGGGCATATTTCCTTCACCTCCTAGTTCTTTATATAGTTGAGGTCCGTGGCTCACCTTTGTACATCATATATACGTGCATATGCCCAAAGAGCAATATATCGTGCAATTCACATATTCTACATGGTATCGGTTTTTAGGTTCTAGCCCTAATCTTCCGCTGCCGCTGCCGCGCCTCCTCATGCGCCGCCGCCGCCTTCTCACAGCCACCGCCCATGCGTCTCCCGCACCGGTCGCGCCACCTCCTCGCTAGCCGCCCGCAATCGCCAGCTCTCGCTTCTCCCGATCGCTAACCGCTCGCTAGCCGCTTCCCCCGATCGCTAGCAACCCGCCCGCTACCCAGCCAACCCGCTAGCGATCACCGCGCTGCCAACTTGATCCCTAGCCGCTTGCGTCCGCTACCCCGATCACTAAGACAACTCCCCGCTCGCCGCCTCCCCACTAGCCGCCAACACCGCCAGCCACCGATCGCTACCCCGCTCCTAACCCAAGATCGCTAGCTGCCCAAGCTGCCAGCCAACAGATCGCTAACCCAGCTCGCTAGCACACATCACCGAAGCGGCACGCCGCCCGGTCCGCTGACTCTGAGCCTCTCCACCTAGTAGCCGCCGCCGCTACCCAGTGCCGCCGCCGCTTCGTGTTGTAACCGTCCTCTTCCCCTCAGTTTTTTTCGCAACAACCGTGTCGTCTCGCCCTCGCCATGTCGTCCATCACCTTCTCCGAGTCCTCCAACTCTAACCCGTTTGTCGACGCCAACCCTTATGACGTGAACGACATCCGCAACCTGAACATCTTCGAGCGGGTGCCGGTTCGTCTCTCCTAGGCGGACTCCTCCTACTACACGTGGAAGACGTATTTTTCCCTCGTGTTCCGGTAGTATCACCTCACCGACCACGTGGACGGCACCATCGACTCCAGCCTCGTCCTCGAGTTCCATGACTGGTCCACCATCGACACCACGATCATCCGCTGGTTCTTCCTCACCATCTCGCCGGACCTCTTCTAGACGGTCGTGGCGGACGGTAATGATGCCTACGCCGTGTGGATCAAGCTGAACAGGCTCTTCACCAACAACCATTTCTAGCGTCGCATTTTTTTGTAGCAAGAGTTTTTTGGGTGTCACCAGGACAACACCTCCGTCGACAACTATTGTTGCCGCCTGAAGACTCTCGCTGACGAGCTCCGCGATATTGGCGTGAAGATCAATGATGACTTCCTCCTCAGCACGCTCACCGCCGGGCTCAACGAGGACTTCGGCAACACCGGGGTGAACCTCAGCCTCATCCCCAACCCGTCCTTCGCCAAGTTCGTTGCGTACCTCCGCTTGGAGGAGCGGCGGATGAAGCAGGTGAAGGTGCGGGCCATCCACACCGCTCTCTCCATCGACACCACCCGCGGTGCCTCCGCGGCGCCTCCAGCTGCCCCGGCCGCGTCATCTCCGCAGCACCACCCAGCGCTGCCGCCGTACCCGGCCGCCCAGCAGCCGGGGCTGCTCCCGCTGCCCTATGGGCCGCCTGCCCCTCCCGCCGAACAACGCCGTGAGGGTCAGCGCGGTGGGGGCCACCGCAGTGGTCAGCAGCAGCAGCCGCAGGGCGCCGGCCAGCCCCGTCAGCAGCAGCAGCAGTTCTAGGTGCCCCCTCTGTGGGCCTCCGGCTACAACCTGTGGACCAGTGTCGTTCATGCCTACACCATGCCGGTTCCACGGGCTCCTGCACCGACCCTTCCCGTGCCGTGCCCGCTGGCGCATCAGGCGTACTACGCGGCTCCGCAGCCGTAGGGAGGATACCCACTGCCGCAGCTGAGCGGCGCCTACGATCTCCCTACGGCCCCGCCGCCGCCCTCGCCGGCCCTACCACCGGCGCCTTGGGATCCGGCGCTCCTCGCCGCGCTGCACACCGCACCTACGCCAAACAACTACACTGGAGGCGGTGATTGGTACATGGACACCGGGGCTACGGCTCATATGTTTGCTCATCTGGTAATCTTGCCTCCTTCACTCCCGTCACCATCGACCGCCGCATCATGGTCGGTGACGGTTCCACTCTCCCTATCACACATGTCGGGCACATTTCTTTTCCTTCTAATTCCATGCCTATTACGTTGTCTAGCATACTTGTGTCACCTCATCTTATTAAAAATCTTGTTTCCGTTTGTTGTTTAACCCGTGAAAATCCTGTTACTGTTGAATTTGATGAGCTTAGTTTTTGTGTCAAGGATGCTCGAACCAGGATGGTACTTCACCGATGTAACAACCTCGATGAGCTCTATCCGGTGCATTCGCCGTCCACCTCCACCACTACACCGGTTGCTCTCTCCGCCGGCGTCGATCTCTGGCACGCTCGTTTGGGTCATCCCAACCCCGTCACACTTCGTCATATTCTTAGGAGTTTCAGTTTCAGTTGTAATAAGATAGAGGATCACACCTGTCATGCCTGTCGTGTCGGCAAACATGTTCGCCTCCCGTTTAATAACTCCACCACCATAGCTTCTTTTCCTTTTCGGTTGATTCATAGCGATGTGTGGACCTCTCTGGTTCCTAGTAATTCGGGCTATTTATATTATCTGGTTATCCTTGATGATTATTCTCACTATGTGTGGACGTTTCCTTTACGATGGAAGTCAGATGCACTCTCCATTTTGATGACTTTTTACTCCTATGTCAGCATGCAGTTTGGACGTCCCATCCTTGCTCTTCAGACTGACAATGGAAAAGAGTTCGACAACCTTGCTTTTCGCACTTTTCTGTCGCACCACGGCATAGTTTTTCATCTCACATGCCCGTATACTTCACAGCAGAACGGTCGAGCCGAACGCGTCCTTCGCACTCTGAACGACTGCGTTCGCACGCTCCTGTTCCATGCTAATGCGCCGTCTCGTTTCTGGCCGGACGCACTCGCTACTGTTTCACTTCTTAACCTTCGCCCTTGCCGCCCACGGTGGAACTATGCACCTCACCATCTTCTCTTCGGTACGCCACATCTTATGATGACTTGCATATTTTCGGGTGCCTTCGCTATCCTTGCACTGCCGACTCCGCTCCTCACAAACTCGCACCTCGTTCTGTCGCTTGCATCTTCATCGGCTATCCCTCTAACTCCAAGAGATATCGGTGCTACGATCCCGTCTCTCACCGTGTGTTCACTTCCCGACACGTTTACTTTGATGAGCATGTGTTTCCGTTTCAGCAGGTACCCCCGGCTGTTCCTCCCCCCACCGGTGACGCGAGCTCCTCGACGCCTTCTAGTTTCTTGTATAGTTGAGGTTCGTGGCCCACCTTTGTGCATCATATATACGTGCATATGCACGAAGAGCAATATATCATGCAATTCACATATTCTACAATAAGTAGGCAAAGCACTTTGTGCTTTATTGTTAGGTCACAATAAAGAACGGCCACATACATTACATCTCTCTGTCTTTTTCTTACGAAACAACTCTAACTTCATTGATACTCATAACAATTACAGACATTCTGATTTGAATATAAGATCCAATAAAATACAAAGTCCTATGACTAAAAATTACAATGAAATCTCTTGTAAACTCCTTCGCGGTATCAATCTCCATTCGAAGAAATACTCCAAAGACTTTGGTAAAGAGGTTGTAATTAGACTGGAGGAACGATGTTGTCACTTTTTCACCCGCACGAACATTACCAATAATGATTTTGAAAGCGCATTGAGTCGCTCAATAATAGAAGTGTAGGTCGTCGAATCACTATATTTTCATCATGGTCTCGATTAAAAATTTCATCTCTACAAAAAATCAAACCAACAAAAAAAGTTTGACACAACAATATAAACTCATCAGATTCGAATAGTCGAATCTGTGAGGACAGAAAATTCTCTAATCTTATGGCATTGCGAAAAAAAACGAGAGAAAAATTATATTCTACTCCCTCCGTTTCTAAATACTTGTCTTTCTAGTCATTTCAACAAGTGACTACATATGGAGCAAAATGAGTGAATCTACACTCTAAAATATGTTTACATACATCCGTATGTAGTAGTCATTTGAAATGTCTAGAAAGACAAATATTTAGGAACGGGAGGAGTATAAAACTATGATGATCACTACATGTCGATGAAGAACATAGAGATCTAGATCTTGAGATTTGAGGTCCCCCACCTCTCAGCGCTGGCAGCTGAAAGCGAGGGGACAAAAGTTCTTAGATGACGACGACGACGTACGAGAAACCCCCTTGAGGACCAGGTTGGACGGTTTCACTTTCAACCCAAGTTTGTGCGAGCCTTCGTGGCCCAAGACTGGGCAGCATCTGGTACGGTATGGGCCGCCGGCCCGATAGTTGCCGCTACTCTGCTTCTGGCATGCGCCGTCTCCCGCCGACGCTCGCCGTCCACCTGCCGCCATGCCCCACGCGCACGGCTACTCCACTCGCCACCGCCGCCGGCTTCAACGTCGCGACGGTGCTCGACCTCATCGAGCGCGCCATCTCCGTGGGCGACGTCCGCCGCCTAGGCCGTGCCGCGCACGCGCTCCTCGTAAAGACGGCGCTCAACCATCACACCCTCCTCTCCAACCGCCTCATCGAGCTCTACGCCACGCTAAACTCCCCGGCGGCCTCCCGCGCAGCCTTCGAAGAACTCCCGTACAGGAATGCCCATTCCTACAACAACCTCCTGGCCGCGCTTTCACGCGGCCCCGCCACCCTCCCCGACGCCCTCCACCTGCTCGACGCGATGCCTGCCCCCTCTCGCAACGTAGTATCCTACAACACCGTCATCTCGGCCCTCGCGCGGCACGGCCGGCAGGGGGAAGCGCTCCGCGTGTTTGCCCGGTTGGCCAGGGACAGGTGCCTGGGGCCGGAGGTGGCCGTCGACCGTTTTGCAGTGGTCAGCGTGGCGAGCGCGTGCGCTGGGATGGGAGCCGTGAGGCCACTCCGAGAGATGCACGGCGCCGTAGTGGTGTCGGGGTTGGAGGTGACGGTCATTATGGCCAATGCAATGGTGGATGCGTACAGCAAGGCCGGGAGGATGGAGGACGCCAGGACGTTGTTCAACCAGATGAGCATCCGGGACACGGTCTCTTGGACATCGATGATTGCAGGGTACTGCCGTGCGAAGAGGCTCGATGAGGCAGTCCGGGTATTTCACATGATGCCGGAGCAGGACACAATTGCATGGACGGCACTCATCTCTGGGCACGAGCAGAATGATGAGGAGGATGCTGCTCTGGAACTTTTTCGACAGATGCTGGTTCAGGGGATGGCACCAACACCGTTTGCTTTGGTGTCGTCTCTTGGTGCATGCGCCAAGCTCGGGCTTGTTATTCGAGGGAAGGAAGTGCATGGTTTCATCTTGCGCCGCTGCATCGGTTCAGACCCTTTCAACATTTTCATCCACAATGCCCTCATTGACATGTACTCCAAGTGCGGTGACATGGCGACTGCCATGTTAATGTTTGCAGGGATGCCTGAAAGGGACTTCATCTCCTGGAACTCCATGGTGACAGGGTTCTCGCACAATGGCCAGGGGAAGCAGTCGCTTGCCGTGTTCAAAAGGATGCTTGAAGCTGAAGTGCAGCCAACCTATGTTACTTTTCTTGCTGTCCTAACGGCTTGCAGTCATGCCGGTCTAGTCTCTGATGGCCGTCAGATTCTTGAATCAATGAAGTACCATGGTGTTGAACCAAGGGCTGAACACTATGCCTCCTTCATAGATGCTCTTGGTCGGAACCATCAACTGGAAGAAGCAAGCGAGTTCATCAAAGATTTGTCATCCAGGATTGGTCCAGGTACAACTGGGTCGTGGGGAGCGCTTCTTGGCGCATGCCGTGTTCACGGCAATATTGAGATTGCAGAGAAAGTGGCGGAGTCCCTTTTCCAGTTGGAGCCTGGAAACAGCGGTCGGTATGTCATGTTGTCAAACATTTATGCAGCGGCAGGTCAGTGGGATGATGCCCGCCGTATCAGGGGGATTATGAAGGAGAAGGGTCTGAGGAAGGACCAAGCTTGCAGTTGGATCGAGGTGCGGAATGCGAAGCACATGTTTGTTGCTGATGACACGTCTCACTGTGAGGCAAATGAGATATATGGGACGCTGGACAAACTTTTTGATCATATGCGTGTTGTAGTGGATCCTGTTGAAGACCAGCTTGCGCTGTGCTGAGAGTGTCATGCCTTCCCAAAGAATCATCAGAACAAGAATGCTACACGAAGCATGCCAGTAGATGTTCACTGTTTTGCCTTCAGCATCTTTGAAATGGCAGTGTTCCAGTTTCTGAGGCATGAGGCCGCAAAGGAACTTCAGAGCCTAATTTCTTTGCACAGTACTTGAGGCAGCAATCTCAGGAGAACCAGTATGATTTGATCCATTTAAATAGCCCTACCCACCGCTTCAGCATACTACTAAACACCACTAGCAACACATGGAGGTGTGTGTGTTATATGCCAGCAATCCGTATACAGTTCAGTATCTGCTAAGCTGTTGGATATCTGTTTGACTTATTTCTGCAGAAAAAGGGATATGTATTCATTGAAGTAGAAGTGAGCTAGGACTTCTGCCAACAATGGTTATATTTTCTCGTCACTTCTACTGATCCTGACTCGAATTATGATTATATAGTTTGGACAAGTCGGTGTTGCCTACATCGTGGGTCATTGTTCCTCTGTGCAAGTCAATTTTCCTGACAAACAGGTGAGTTACAGTATGTTTGAAACTACTTCTGCGAAGCCTTTTGCTCAGATAAATCAACTGAGAGCCAAAGGGCATTTCCCGTGTTATCCTAGGAAGTGTCATGTGAGATAAATGATGAGGTGGAGAGAGAAGCCAGAAAAAAGGCTTACCTTCTCTTAATTAAGAGATGATCTCTTAGCAACCATATCTCTAAGCACATATTAGGTATAGACTAGTTACTAGAGATATAATGAATAATCCATTATACATCGTATTTTTATGGCCTTCTCTAGACTACATGACAGGTTTAAAATAAAACTAACTTATCAACCATTATACATGCCCAAAATTATTCTCTGTTTGATGAATCTTGATCGCCAAGAAGGGTGAGGCTTGGCATTACTGACACATAGCAAACTAGAACACGTGTGAAATAATGGGAAAAAAAAAGCTTATTAACAACGAGTATATGCCATCAATAATTAAGTTTATACTGTCTCGTTTGATTTCCAAGACTATCTTCACCTTGTCATGGATGCATGCACCTACCTAACAAGACAACCTGAAGATAACCCCTATCTCAAAACTACTAGCAAATCTACTATGATCTCTGTTTTCCTATGTGAATATATAAATATATACATACACACATGCATATTTTCTTATGCTTATTATCCAATATGCATTTTCTCCAGCAAGCTCCCAAAATCGCCAGTTAATTCTTCTGCTAATAGAATAAATCACCGCTTCCTTCAGGTATGCTGTGCAAGGCAGGCCGCCACCCTCTGCAGCAACCGATCTCCTCCTGGTGCTGATCTTCCGATCCTCTTCGCATGAGAGCCACCATGTCGTCCAGGGAGACGGCCTGGTCGTCCTTGCCCAGCATCCGCCTGAGCTCCTGCTTGCTGATGACCAGCTTCACCCTCATGACGGCTCCAGGGTCAGCGACAGCGGAAGGTGCCTTCACGTCGGAGGGGAACAAACGATGCAGCTGCCCCAAGTCGCCCACCCGGACGTCGAGGTGTTGCTTCTGCGCCCGGAGCGCGTCATCGGTGTCGGAGCCAGAGACCCGTGCGACGGCGCCCTTAGAGAGGGGTGGCGGGAGCGCCTTGAGGATCTCGCCATCGCCGACGCTCATCACCTTGATCTCCTTTCTGTCTTGGATCACCAGGCAGTTCCCCATGGCCGACGATGAGCTGGGCTGCGAGCAGATTGGTGGTGAGCTACGAGGGAAGCACGCGCAATGGAAAGATCACAGTTCGCAAGTGCTCCTGTGCCAGTGTGTCTGTCTGTGTAAGTGGGGGGTTGCACGGACCAGTGGAGTGCTCTATTTAAAGAAGTGATGGTAGAGAATGTCCAAATATTTAAGAGCTTATTTCACGAATGCCATTGCTCTACTCACTTTCATTTTTGTGACAAATTCTATTTCTGCCTTTTAGTAAAGCGGCCTTAGACTTTGGCCTACCTAAGTGAAGTGAAGTTGCCTCAATACAACAGCAAGCTACACAAGAGCCTCATGAAAGTGCGCTCGCTCTTGTAATGGCCAATTAGTTTTGCGCCTCACTTGTTTTCCTCCTTTTTTTACGGGGAAGGGTCACCATTTTTCTTAGTAAAAAAGCCTGTAAACTAAGAAAATTATCACAAAACCATAAGAGACTGAAGGTGATCGGTATTGCCCTACAAGAAGAAAGAGAATGAATAAGCTTAAAACAAATGATGCTGAAAAATTGCACACAAGCATCACAAAATTTACAGTGTTTCACAATATTACAATAATGATAATGTAGTAGTACTGTAATTTTTAGAAAATAATATGATTTTCACACATACTGCATATAACTTGCGTGTACACATCCACGTCATATCCAGTGCTCAAATAATAAACCAATAGCGTCATATATTAGTTATCTCTTGGCACGGAAATGAATTGCACCTCATTTCAGTGTTGTTATCTCATGCACGAGCACAAACATGCACCCACATGCACGCAGACACAGGCACACAGAAAGAAAGAAACTGATACACACAAAGAAAAAAAAACACTGAACAAATGGGGAAAAGTTATGATCACAAAAGAAAATTTACGCACCACCATCACACATTTGAAAAGTTACGTGAACTTGAGTCAGCATTGGTCAAAACCGGGGTGATACAACACCAAAACCAGTCAAAACTGATATTAGGGACGAACATTGTTCGGTTTCGGTAGTTGGGATGTAAGTTGTCCGGTTTCGAAGTTGAGGGACCAAATCTAGACTCCGCCAAGAGTTAAGAGACGAAAAATATACTTTTCTCATGTAAGTATGAGGTCAAGAAACATTAGCATGCATGCATGTGGGGCCCAACATCTTGGGCACAGGCCTAATCCATGTTGTGCTTGTGCTATCTTTTATAGAATGTAGTGGAGCTAAGAATCATTTGCATGTTGCCAACTTTGCAACTGAAACATGAAACATCATCCCATTTTTTTTGCTCGTGTAGTGGTGATAAGTATGGGGGACAGCCCGAAAACAACCCCACTCCATTAGCACTATATGATGATGATACCAAATTATCATCACTACCAATCTATGAAAACACCCATTGCACCATATCGTTTTATGCTTAATTAATAAGTAATTCTTCTGTTATTAATAAATAATTCTTCTATACGCCTAAACGTGCACCTTTGTTGTGTTATGCATGTTGCTTTACATGGTCTACATATGTAGGTTTCGGAAACTATTAAATTGCAACATTTATGATAATCTATACATAGTACATAACACGTGTTTGGTTAATGTTTTGAAAGTACCTGTCCTTTCGGCCATCTCGAGTATGACCATAATTATCACAAAATCAAGCTTTACATTTAGTGCCATTAGTTGGCAAAATGTTAGCTCATGGTTTGTTCGTGTGTCAACTTAAGTATGTAAAACCCTCAAAAGAATAGATTATAGTAAAATGACATAAAAATTACATTACCATTTTTCTCGTAACATGAATTCGCATGCACACAAGCAAAAATAAGATTTTTCTTTGCACCAAGTTAAGTTTATTTTTCATAACGTGGTAAACCTTTTCTTGATTTGTTTTCATTGTAAGAATATAAACCCAAATGAATGAGTATAGTACATAGCGTTACCTTGGTGTTACACGTAGTATATACATGAATCTAGAGATCCAGCTCTCCGAGAGCATGTTGAGCTTCAACCAGGGCCAGATGTTGGGACTTGCCTTTGTCTTCGTCTCATCTACGTGATTTGCGGCGTCCTATGGAGGGAACGGCGTCACGGCGTGTTTTTGTTCTCCGGTTTCTTCTCCGTCCAATGTGGCTCAGTTAGATGTGCCTCGTCAGGGAACTTACGAGGTTTGTGCCCCCCTCCTCGCTTCGATCGGAGATGAGATTATCTTCTATCCCTTCTCGGTGCCAACTTCTCCGGGATGGTGATTTGCTCAGATTGTGGTCGTTGGTGTCTTCAGGTGTACATTGACGATTTCCCAGCCGCCGCTTCTTGACGGTTGCTCTCGTATGCAGCAAGAAGCTTTACTCACGGCGTACTGCCGGTGGATGCAGAAGGAAAGATGTGTTGATTACATTAAGGACTTGCTTGTGATTTCATATTCTTTCAATATAATGATGTTCTTGTAAGGGATGTTTTATCTAATGTATGGCCTTGTGTCTTTCTGCAACAAAAAAGAGGAACTCAAAAAGAAGTGACTCATGTTGTGGAAGTTTATGAAATTTCTTCATGCAATCTATAATTACTAGAGGATACGCCGTGCATTACTGCGAGAATTGGTTAATGAAAATTTGGATTGGCAACATGAGCACAAAAAATTTAAAATATACATATGACTTATTATATTTACCTATGTATAGCTGTAACGATATTTGTTGAAAATAAGTAGAATAACTGAATGAAAAACATTTTCTCATGTCTGGTTGAATGCTGTGGTGGGTCTTTTCCCATGCATAACCACATGTTTAGGTGGGTCTTTTTTTTTGCGGGTGAGATGAGTCTTATTCTATTCATAGTTGTATGATGAGGTGGAATGTTTACATGTTGAGATAAATAAGTTAGTGAGGATGAGTCTCTCTTATGTACTCCCTCCGTTCTGAATTACTTGTCGCAAGTATGAATGTATCTAGATGTATTTTAATTCTAAATACATCCATTTCTGCGACGAGTAATTTAGAACGGAGGGAGTATAAAGGATTATGTTTACCATGAAAACTATTTTCTTAATATGTCAAGGGTAAACTTTGTAAAAAGAAAGGCGTCCACACCACATTATGGCATGGCCGGCTAGAGTGTTTGAGCAAGCATGAGCTGTTTTTCTCGTTCGCACGACGTAAGCAGGAGGCCGAATCTAGCGCAAGACAACAAAAGCGCGTCCATCACATCAAGTAGCCATCAGCACATTCCCAAGCCCCACTACGATCCTCCTTTCTGTCATTTTTCCCTCCACTTTTCTACGTCTGCACATTTTATCTCTCTAGTGCGCACTAT